CGTGCAACGAGAGACCGCGCCGAACCGAAAGTGGTGATGGTGTTGCGAGGTGAAGAATGCACACCGTGCAAGACTATGAGATGAGGTGGTGTTATGGTTACGTTGAGACTTGGTTATGTGGGGCCTATAATTCGCACTTGCGACGAGCTGAGGTGATGCAGCAAATGATCTCCCTCTCTCACACTCTGTCTGCTGTGTGACGAGGCGCTGACTCGACGACTTTCAGCTTTGGCAGCCGTAAGAGACGGCGCAAACTTTGCCGCAGATTAAGTCTGCCTTAACTCTACTCATCCCGAAACTCCAACTTGTAAGAAGGATCTAATTCTGTTTTTTGGTTTCTAAATATGGGGGGCCCGGGCCGTTTGCGGTGCAGGTGGCGCGTAACCTTCTGTAACCGAAGGAAGGAGTAGGGGGGGGAAATAACATGGACATTGTTAACTTACACCTCAAAGAACCCCAATGTGGCAACAGGTTTTTCGGATATAGAGATTGAGGCGTCGCCAACAGCAAAGTCAAAACAGAGCTCTCTCGTGGGCCAGGAGAATGTAGATGCGAGGACGCTGAGCTATAATAGGCGGCGAAGTGACTGATTCACGCAAGCTGACGACAGGCAGTTGCCGGCAGTAGGAGTCAGATGACGAGTTTCGAATGGGACAGTCACGAAACTTTGCGCAACTCGGTCAAAGACAAATAGCAGGAGCAACTCTGAGATCTGCCTGAACAGTAAAGACAAATAAGCGGGGTTGCGCGATGTCGCAAAATTTTCCTAGGCAATTCCTATACGAGATTCTCCTTCTTACGTAGTGCGCGCGAGTGATAACGTTGTCGGAGGGCGGGTGGCGAGAACCGTTGTGAGAAAATAGGAAAAAACTGATCACGAAGAATTGGTGCGAGTGGGTAGATAATTGAAACCAAGGGGAGAGGACCAAGGTTACTATGTACCGTAGCCTAGGGGGTGCTCGTGGCAATCTCTAACTCCAGGTATGTATGTACCAGTGTAAGTACACACATACATACCGCGGATGACGGTTGATTCACTGCGTTCAGCCAAATTGCGACCAGTTGAGTGAGAGTCGGAGCTAAGCGAGGGGACTCTCTTTGCCAAGTTCCAGTTTCCTATTGGAGGAACGAAACGCTCGAGACTCATTGGGAGCACGAGAATGACAGACCCTAATACCAAATTGCCTTGCGTGCGAAGGGATACTTTGGGGTATAAGTCCTTGATTGACTTGTGTTGCAACAGACAAACATGAGAAATGATCGATCGTAGCGCGCTGTATGTACAGGCAGGCCTGGGCTTAGCCTTCCTGGAAGGTGCGGTAGATGATGTGACACCAGTATTCTGTTGGCTAATCGGTACCTCAGCTGCTGAGGTTAGAGAGTCAGTAGGCAGAAAAGAAATGTGGGACCGGCCATAGTCTCGTCCTCCAAATGGGATCCGCATGACTTCGTGCAGTATCACTCGCTATTCAGGCATCTCAAACCTTGGTGTTCATGCAGCTGAGCAACTTGACGACTTGCATCACGTTGATGCAACAGATGATTTGTTTCAGATGCCTCAAACCTGCTCATACAAGATGAGCCAGTACTCGCGATTGCACGCCTGCCCATAAATCATGTCCCGCTTGGGCGCTTAGATGCAAGCGAACTCGGCCTGGGACGCGGAGTAAGGGACTGTAAGAGGAGAGCATAATGTTTGCGTGGTGTTTGCTCTTGATAAGCAAACCTTGATTTAGATGGCTTGCGATTGGCGCGTCGTGATAAAGGTGTCTTTAAATTAATAACGAACAGTGACAGCTTATCACGCACCGAAAATGGAAGAAGGAACTCGACGCAAGAAGGGAAGGGCATCGCGAAAGGCGGCCCGCAGTGGTTTGTGATCTTCGTAATCTGAATGGTCAGACACGCGAAACTCAAACCGCGCAAGATTTAGCCCAGCCTAAAATACCTAAAGAGCAACAGACGTCAGACAGGTCCGCAGCGGTGGTCAGCACCTCGATTAGCATAGGTCGGGAAAAGGGCTCTAGAATCCAGAGGAGACTTCACGTGAACCTTTTCCAACCGATTGCGACCAAAAGTTTCTAACATTTGTTCCTGCTAAACTTGTCTCTTGCGACTCTGTGTCCACTCACCTTTGTTCTCTGCCATGTAACTGATCCTGGCGGAACTAACTTCGTGCATATCGAGCCACGTTCATCATGTGATCTTCACACGGGACTCGGATCCGATGGGCGCAAAATTATCCACGTTTCGGCGCGTGATCCACTTGAATGCATCGTCTTGAGAAATCGGTGTAGAAGTATGGTCTTGGGACTTTCTGGGCGTCTTGAACTGCATGCGTTTTACTTGTTAGACGCACCTTGGGCTAGCACGCGCTGCAGTCGAGCTGCGGGCAAGAAAGGCATGCCAGCGCAGCAAGCGTCCAGCCGCGCGCGCAAGCTGCATATTTCCTCGTAGTACACCGATGCGCACCTCTCGCACTTCCCGGACTGGTGATCTGAGTTTATGTACAAGGTAGTCAATTATGACCTCAACGGAGTGTCACATAGGTAACCAGATCAAGTAGTCCCCCTCGTATACGCAGTGTGACAGAGGAAATTACGCTTCCCGACGGCTGTACAACGTTCGAATGAGCCCGTAATCACACATCCAGGCCAGAGAGCAGTGTAGTACTACAGATGCAGCACGCATACGAGCCGTGCATGTGCCTGGGTTAGGGCTGCTTTTTCTTTTGCCAACTAAGGTGTCAGGTTATCGAGTCTTGTCTCTCACAACCAAGAGTTGCGACTGGTAGCCGTATTGTAGAAGGCGTCGCCTAGAGCAAGGGCTCGAAATACCTCGGTGGGTAGGTGGCTACCTTCCACGGCCACCTCTTCCTCCGCGACCTGATTTGCCTCTATGGTTCCTTCCTCCTCCTCTCTTGCCCCCTCGAGTGGCGCCCCGGGTATCAAAGCGTGGGAACAGCGGTTCTTCACCGAAAGCCCCTTCAGCGAATCGCATATAGTTGATAACTCCATGATCGACAACAGCGATGAGGACATTCCTATGTCCATGCTTCAGCCTAGCATAGAGACGCCCATGCTGTCCTGCCCAATCTGGGTTGGACGGCGCATACGGCGTCGCGTCGATGAGAGCAGTGATCTCCTCATACGAAGGTACGTCCGTCTGCTGCGCGTCAACCACGGATATGTAAAAGTCCGGTGGAGGATGCCGTAGCTTTGTCCACTTAGCGGCTGCCTTCCAGACGTGATAGTGAATCTCGAACGGGGCTTGCGGCTGCTCCGCACACGATGGCTGCTCAGACGGTTTGTGCCGTGGAATAACCGCCATCTGCTGGTAGATAGTGTTGTAGGATCGGTGTAGACCCGGCTTCACAAGCGGTCCATAGGGCTGGGGGCTATGGTTGGCTCCGGTTAGAAGAGAGACCAGCCATTGCCAGATGGTATTGCTCTGGGGCGGTTTCTGCAGCGCCATCGCCTGCTGTGTCGAAGGTGGTGGTGAAGGCGCACGAAGGAGATTGAAACCCGCGCGCTTGAGGTTCGAGTACATCTGGAACTTCTGGAGGCTGACCTTGCCGCGTTCGCCGTCGTTGCCGACAAGCAGCGCGTAAGCCGCCTGGACGCTCAAGGGGAATCCCATTTCGTACTCGTCCGCCTCGGCAGTAGCTTTCGGTTGCTCATCAGCCTTGCCCACCTCCTCTTCAGCGCCAGGCTGCTTCTCTGGGGGGAACATCTCCTCCATCCCGCGCATCGGCCACCACAAGTCCAACGATCCGCGCTCGATGAGAAACAGGGCCTCTTCCGGCAAGAGCCAGTCCTTGCCTCGCCCCGGCCTGTCCTTGGCTTGGCCGGTAACAGTTCTTCCAAGATTCGAGCTCGAGTTGGAGCTGGTCTCCAGAATCACCACCCTGTCACGCACATGCGCCGGTGGTCTCTTCTCCTTCTGATGCAGTTGCTGCTGCTGCAATTCCTCCTCCTCTGTGAAGTCGGCCCACCAGTCGGGAAAGTACCATCCTCGCGCCCAATTCTGCGGGAGGTGCACCCGAGTGTAGCTCAGGTGGTCCTGCATCGCCTGCCGGCTCTGTTCGAGCGCCTTCTCCTGCGCCCTTGTGCCATGCGACTCAAAGTCCTTCTCGCCCCGGCGAATAGTCTGCGCTGAGATACCGGTGTTCTTGCGGAATGCCGTCGCAAAGAGGCGGAAGTCCTGGGCCTCTTCCTCCAAAGCCTCTTCGGCCGTCGGAATCTCCGCGTCTGCGCCTGCTGCTACGCTGACGCTCGCGGCCAGCGCAGCAGTAGGAATGTCATCGTCGTCGAGAGGCATTTTGAGTAGAGTCGGGAATCCTGGAGTTGTGTGTTTCCGAATGCGCCAGCTCCATTGATAGCGGGTTGGGACTTTTTATTTTGGCTGTGAACTTTTCAAGGTAGCACAAGTGGGTCTACGAAGCTCTGGCCCCGCCAAACCCGACTTGACTCTTGAACATGAACAATGTTACCTTGAGCATGTGCACGGCTTTGAAGTCATTTCCATGCAGAGCTGAATGGCATTCTGAAGAAGCCAAATTGTGCAGTTAGAAACAGAGCATAGTAAATCAGTACAATACCAGCAAGTACAGTACTCTGGTACAAAGCACAGCTAACCCAGCCGCCTAAGGACCTGAACGAACACAGTGAGACTGCGACCTTGTCCAGTTCTGACAAGTCGTATTAGTCTACTCTTAGGACCAACAGACAGATGAGTTGGATGATACGCCGACAGTTTTACATGAATCAGCCAACTTCAGCTCACGCAAAGCTGAAAAGAGTCACAGCTGCCTAATGCGTAAGCCGGTATGTACCTGTTCAGCTCGAGCTGGTTACCGCCTTTGGCAACTGTAATCGCCGACCCCACCTCTTCTTGCATAACTACGCTGTGAGTCGAACCGTAACACCAATCAAAGCAATGTCCACACCACTAGGCACATCTTCGCTACTTAGTTCACTCTAAGCTTGTCCGATCAACAAGGCAAGGTGGCCGAGTGGTTAAGGCGCTGTGTTTAGGTATTCATTCACCATCCGCAGTGGGAAACCTCGCGAGTTCGAATCTCGTCCTTGTCATTAATTCTCTCGAAGAGCTCTATTCTTTATCGCTTTTTCTGTCCTGCTCTTCCTTTTTTTCATTTCAGTAAGATAATGCTCGGGGTAACTAAAGCAGCCTTCTAAGGGCTCTCTTATTTACAATAGCTCAGTCTTCTTTACTGGCCGGACATCCGAAGTGGACACGACGAAGTTTCGGTGTCTCCTCAGGATCTGTCACAGACTCTTCACCAACGAACTAGAGTGTTAATTAAATGTGATATCTCTCTTCTCTAATTGAGCCGGCGTTTGCTAGAGCCACCATGATCCGCCGGCAACTGTGCGGTACTTACTTCTCCTCGGCGATCCACGTGAAGAGTTGTTCACGCTCACAGGTCAACCCAATTCTCTTAGTCAACTAATTATACGTTATTACATAGCTACACCGCGTTGGTAGGACATTTGGTGATACTATCATTGTCCATATATTAGACGCAAGATCATGTGGGTTGTCTCTTACAAACAAACAGTGCCGTCTGCGTGGATGCCGACACAGACATATTTCAGCAGATCTCCAAGTATTTCTGGAAGGCGGTGAGGTCGGTGTCGGTATCTGAGGCCTCAAGCTCTGCGGGGGTCTTGTAGATGCCGCCAGTGTTTACGCAGAGGGCCAGACATTTGGGTCGCGGCCCCGCCCCCCGAGAGATAGACGTGAGGCTACACTCCCCGTGGTAACCTCGGAGGTTGCCGATCCGCAGGGACTGGGCGTAGACTCCGCTGGACTGTTGTTCCAGTGCTGGAGTCTGAGCTGACTGAGCTGCTCATGTTCTGAAGGGCGATACTTGATGTTCCCCCACCAGGCTGCGGCGCAGGATTCTGGAGCGACGACAGCATGGTTTCTTTCCCATGGCATATAGTAAGGAGACTGGCCACGACTATAAACAGCTCGTCGTGGAGGTGCTCGGCAGGCACAAACACTGTGAAGCTCGTATCCCTCGTCTCTGGGTGTTCGTAGCCCCTATCACGGACCTTGTTCCTGAATTCTTCCAACAGATCTGGGTGCTGTTCCTTCCAGTGGGTAAGCTGTATATCGAGATGCTTGCAGCAGCCACGGCAAGGAACGCCGGGCACATATTAATTAGTACCTTAAGGCAACCAGTGAATCTGAGAAGTCTGGACATCCAAAGACACACAAATCAGTCTCCCACCACACAAACTCCCTGGCGGAAGCTTCTACCGATAGAAGTCAGGCCGCTGACTGCCGTCACTCTGTCGACGGGAGCAGTCCGTTATTTTCGGCACTCGCAACCGAACCACTCACTCCCAGTGCCTCGCGGACTCCTTGTCCCGCCAGGGGCGATGTCAATGACAGCACTGCCCGAGACGACGACGACGCCATGTCACAAACCACAGTTACCCCAACCATCATCGCTAATTACTCTCCTTATATACCTAACCGCCGTTCAACGGTCTCTCTCACTAAGCAAGTTTGCCCAGGCCAAGCGAGTAGTCTGGCTTTCCCCGGCCGAAGAGGCAATAATTACCTGCGGAAAACAGGGCGACGGATACGGCGAATCCCAGTAACCCTAGGGCGGCCAAACCCAGGTGGTGCTGCCGGTCCAGCAGGCCCGGAAAAAAACCGGCGCAGAAAACGCCGATGGAAAAAGCCAGGACGGCGCCGGTGAAGCCATGAACCTGGGAGGGGGAGGACCGGGCCAGGAAATGGTACAAAGAAAAGAGACTCAAGAAACCAACCGAAACAAGAGAACTCTAGGGGGATATCACCGCGACATTCCCCCAAGTGACTGGGGGGTATGTTCTCTCTCTCCGCCGAGAGTACCTGGACCAACTGGGCAACCACTCTGATGCCAAACACCGGGATCTCCCCGGTGTGGGTGTCGGCGCACAGGTAGACTCCGGCGTCGTAATACGAGCAGCTCACGCGACCCGCAGCCCAGGTGGCCGGCCGGCGCAGAAAACGCCGATGGAAAAAGCCAGGACGGCGCCGGTGAACCCATGAACCTGGGAGGTTTAGGGCCGGGCCAGGACTGGAGGGAGGTCGGGGGCGTCGGTGTCAGAGACGACCGGGGGCTGGGACTCGGGAAGGAGGATGCTGCACTCCATATCTCGTGACAGGTAATTACTACATGGCCATGGCCACACAGGAGAACGCTTGTGGAACAGACTTGGCTGCCCAAGACCGTGAACCCGGCGACCCATAGGAAGACGCCCCCCCGGCAGTGCGTGGAAATGGAAGTCAGTCGATCATTTTGCTGTTCTTATGATTGGCATCCCTACTTGGGGTCAATTTGAATGGTTCTTCTAGCCAAATCAAGAACCCCTTCGGCCATCTCCGTTACGGTTGCTCTTACACTAGGTTCAGGAGTATCATCTGTCCTGGCCCGACTCGGCCCTCTAACGCCACAAGAGGCGGTTCTTGACAACTTCTTTTTCAGGGGGGCGACATATTCTGTCTATTCAAACATTATGAACGTCTTTTTCCCATGTTTTACTGTCAGTGAATACGATCCCTATTAAAATGGAGTTGTCCGAGGGCCGTTTATGTTTCAGCCCTTAATATCGTCGGTTCCCCGCATAGGAAACCAGTGGAAAACGTCCGAGACCATTGACGAGGTTCTTAAAGTCCAGTCACATTCTCGTGCGTAGTACATGTGACCCGTGCCGGGCGCTATGGCCGGACATCTCCTCCATCGACTCCAGGAAGGCAGTTTCTTCGTCGTCATGGACCAAGTCGGCGGGGCCTACGCTAGTCGACAGCAGCTCCTCAGCCGAAGCGACGCTGCCGACAAAGCGCCTGGCAAACCCTTTTAGGACGTGTCGCATTTGCTGCAGGTTGAGCGCGGTGCCCAAGTGGGCTCCCGAGACCGCCTTAAGGCGTTCGGTGACGTCGGTAGTGTCCAAGAGGTCGGGTTGCGAGGTAAGGCGAAGCGTGAAGACGTACCCGTTGGGCGTGTCGTCTTGCTGGATGCGCTCCAGAAACTCGGCAAAGGGGATGATAAAGACAATCCAACTGACCAACAGGCGCGAGCATCGCTCGTTGAGGCCTCCAGATGGGCATGACGCCGCCAGGCTTACGCCTCGCCGACTTGTTGTATAGCGTCCGGGTAGCAACGGCGCCGTTATATATAAAGATGTTGCGCATGCCCCCTTACGGGGGTGTTAACGCTGCGGAGAGACATCAACTCAGGCCCGCGAGTACCATCAAGGAGGGGTCGGCAGCCATTGCCAACACCCTGGGAGATCCCCATTGGGCCGAGAGGGCCATGGCGCTGGCTGGTGTACTCAACTTTAGCCTGGCTGGTGTGGAAGGAGGGTGTGTCTGCTAATCCCTCGGTGCGGGCCTCGTGGGCCAGGCTGTCCCGCACCTGGGCCCAGTACACGGCTAGTGCGAGCTTCCTAACCGCAGAGTTATATTACCGTTACCAGCCGCGAACCGTAGCGTCCGACAAGCCCTTGCCTTGGCGCCACTTCTGCCGTAGCGAGTCGTCCGAATCGATGCGTCTTAAAAGGGCCGAGCTCGCCTGTTTAGCCCAGTGCCGGTTATCGTGCTCGCTCATAAAGTTATACCCAACGGTGTCGTTCTGGCGATCGTCCTGTATGTTAACAAGGGCGGGAGTAAAGACCCCTCGGGATTTGGTCCGGGCGTGTAGACGAGCTGGTGCATTCGCTTCGTGAGTGCGGCGAGAGTATCTGTTCACCACATACCGGACTCGGCTGGGGGTGACTTCGACAAGTTTACTACTGAGTGGCGGTACCAAGGCCGCAAGGTCGACTTGAGGATGCTCCAGGACCTGACCTGCAGTTCCGCCAATCGTGCTCCGATCCTTTGACTTCCCCATCAAGCTCCCGGCGAGACGGGCCGGGTTATAACCTAGATTTGGAGTTAGGCAGCCCCGACAGACCAGACCCTGACGGTGACGGCCCCGGTGAGGCAGGGAGGACTCTCTTCGAGTTACTAATTAGCGAGCAAGAATCGGAGAAAGCAGGATCGCTCCGTACTATATCACAATTTCGGACTCTAGAGGAGTACATCAAGGAGAGGTACCCGGAGGTGAACCCGGCGGGCGCCTGCTGGCAAGCTTAGTCCGGTCTTTGTGCACCGTGAGGGCTCGCAACGTCGTTACAGATGACATTACCGGTTCAATGCGATTTCTTAGGATGTGGCAAGGCCTTCATTACTAAAAGCAACTGTGTCAGACATATGCGCACCCACACTAGCGAGAAGCCGTTTCAAAGCGAGGTTACGACCAGGTTAAAATTGTGCTTCACTTCGCGGTTGATGTTAAAAAGCCAAGCAGATAGTATTTATAGCCAGAAGAAGACTGGGAAGATCCGATTGTTAGCATATTTATCGCATGTCTGTTTTGGGGGGGGGGGATCAGCCCGTCCCGTTCAGCTAATTAGCTTCGACACCTATCGATGTCCATGTCGATATCGAGCTTACCAAAACGCCCAGGAAGAAAGTGTGATCGATGACAGAGCGTATGGGCAGTCACGACCTTAAAAAACTAAGCCGATAACGACTCATGCATGAGAGAAAAGGGGCAGAAGTCTGGAATAAAATCATAAATGGTTAGCAAGACACTTGATTTTTTAAAAATCATTTCAACAGAGAAGCTGACCATCAAGACTGGACGCGAACTGGTAAATACAGAAATGATATGGGGAGGCATGGATACGGGCATGGCGCACTTGGCGATGATAAAGATGGTTGTCTCAATTCGTCTTTTATGGACAAAGCACAGCGAATTTTGACTGGATCGAGATCCTCTTGTCTCTGTCGACTGCCTCTAACGACTTGAAAGGCGATATCCGCGAGTTCTGTGACAATGTGAAGAAGCAAGTATTTGACGAACGGAATACCGATCTCAGCGGGGATCTCGATAGCCTTTGTCTGAAACTCGTTTCCGAACAGGTCGCGAATGAACTTGCATGTGTAGTCTTCGCAGCTGACGAGTGGGGGCAAGGCGGAGTTGCGACGCGAAACTTGACTGCACGCCCCTCTGATCATCTCGGTGTCT